TCCGCTCGCTGAGGGGGTTCCACTCGCTGAGGGGGCTCCGCTCCCGGGGTTCCGCTCCCTGAGGGGGCTCCGTTCGCTGAGGGGGCTCCGCTCGCTGAGGGAGCTCCCCCGCCTCATCCCGCGTTCTGGGTGCTCGGGGGCCGTGACCCGGGAGGGGAAGAATAGCGGCTTGTTGTTTTCCAGTGAGGGTGCCTCCACCCCTGGAGCGGAGCTGTTCGCTGTGAATGCGCTCCGGCAGTGCCGGGGATGGGGCTGGTTGATTTCGCTGGAGCACAGCCTCTCCCGATGGGTGTGTGTGTGTGGATCCTGGCACAAAACCTCCCGCTTCCAGATGCGCTCGGCTGACAGTGGCAGCGCCTCATCCCTGCTGCCTGTAAAACCTGCTGTCCTGTTTCATGCTGCCCGGAGATCGGTTTGTACTGATGTTAGATATGAAACTGMTGTTTCTTACCGGTATTTGTGCATTTTCTGGTAGACTTTGTATTAGCAAAACTTTGGCCAAACTAACACACGCTGCCGGTTTGTTTGTCTTTGGGGTTTTGTCGCTGTTTTTAGTATTTCTACAGTTATTAAGGTATCAGGTCAATTACTTCTGTTGCTGTTATGGATATGTCTCTAATTTTTATATTTTGTGTTTGTATTTCTCTTCTTGTTGACTAAAGATGTGATTGAACAAAGGTTACTTTATAAGCAGTGCCTATTCAGAACAGGCAGGAGGAAAGTATCTGTTTAAAAGTAGAAAATAGGGAGTATGAAGCTTTTCTTGATCTAATTCTGCAGCAAACTCATAGAGGTGAGATAAATTGAGTTCTGAGTCTGGGTTTTGTAGAACTTAATAGAAGAAATCTATTCTGTTCTCTTATTTATTTGTACCTTCACATCTCTGCTTTGAGCTATACCAGCCATTCAAATTTTTCGCATTGGATAAAGTTAGAAACTTTCCCATCACGGTCTGACTCATTCTTTAGTTTCTTCCACCTCACAGTTAATTTATAGAGGTGTACTCATACTTGTTGCTTCCATGCTGCAATTCTATAATCCAGTGTAATAATCAAAGTTCACTTCTTGTGTGTAAACTTTGTTAGCTCCTGGGAATATTCCAGTACTCAGGGTGAAGGGATTTAATAGTCTTTCTGCTATGAGGAACTGACTGGATAGGCTGTTCTAAAATAAAGTCCCATGTGAGCTGAGAGCTTCACAATAAACAACTTTATTCTGAAACAATAGCATTGGAAAACTTTTTCAGGGTCATTACTTATTTAGAAGCATATTTTAACCAATGCAGACAAACCACACATCGACCAAGCTCATACTGTTCATGGAGGAATTTATGAAACCACACAATTCCTAYGGGATCCATGAAATATTCTACTTTTTCATTAAGACAATAAATACAGCAACTCCAGGGCTGCAGTTGGATTTGACTGGTGAGATGCCCTGCATTTCCTAGGTGTTAGCCTGGTGCCATTCTYAGCAACCTGGAGACATCATTTCGTGTTTTTTCAGGGCAGGCGAATCCCAGCCTACAAATCCATGCCAAAGTGTATTGTAATTGTTTGGGTGCTCCAAATTGTTATTATGTATCAATGACAAATTTGGTCTGTTTCTTGTTGCAGTGTACTGTGAATCATGGCTCTGAGAGGGTTTTTTGGAATTTTGTTTCTTTTTTTCCCCTTCTTTCTGGAGTATTCTTTGGGAAAGGGGGTGTAGYTGCTTTGTTTACAAAGCAATTGTGCTTTATTGGAAGTCATAAAGTGGTTCAATACTTAGTCAACTGTTTCTCTGATAATCACACTATTCCTGCTTTCTGTGAGCAAGGGGAATACCTTTGCCTGGATAACTCACTTTTTAAAAGTTGCTGAAAGCTTTAGAATACAAATTTCTGCAACCAGCAAGGAGTTCATGCTTTACTCTCAAGTAAATTGACAAGAGGTTTCCAGTTGTTGGAAGAAAACAAGACCTTTAAAAGGTGTTGTGACATAAGGAATGGACTTTCTGATCCACAGATCTTTGGATTTCAGTGTGTGGCTTGCTCATGCATAGTACAACTTTTAAACAACCTTGGTGATCAGCAAAACTTTAATTTCCTTCTGGTTTAAAGCCATCAATAGGTGACTAGACAACAAGCCAAAGGCTGACATTCAGTCTGCAAAAACTGCTTTCTTATGTTTTGTACATAAAAACTCAGCTCATTATGTAATCTTTGAGACTTCTGGTGCAGGATCTCTGGGTGTCAGGAATACCCTGAACACCTTGCAATTATCAGTTCACTTCCAAATAGAAGACTGTTGCTGTTGGTTTTGTTTGCTGTTTGTTTCTGTTTTGGGAAAAAAAGAAATTGGGATGATGATACATTAGTTCCAAATCACTCCAGAAATAATAGCAGCCCTAGGTTGGCGTCATGGAGCTTTGTTTTGCCCAGTTGAGTACATTAATGAAGGTTAATGAAGATTGTAGTTAATAGGACATTTGAGGGGTGTTGTGTTTGGGTGAGGGGAAGCTAAGATACCTTGTTTTAACTTCAATACTGATACAGAAACTGATTTTGGTATTTATAGCTAGACAAGAATAATGCTGCAAAACAAGTCATTCTAGTTTAGTCTTCAAATACCATTAAAAAGGAAGTTTTTTCTTACTACTTAATGGTTTGTAAATCSTCCCCACTGAGAAAAAGTGGGCCATATGTGCATTTTGTGTGTGTGTGATGGAGTTGGAAGGGGAGCAGCAGGGAAAGGATAAGAGTTTGCATTTTGGCTAACTGGAGAACAGATGTGACTTCTAGAGTGAGCTAAGGTTTGGGGTTTTTGCAGCTTTTTATGCATTGCATTCCAYGCTTGTGGGAGTTTTGTCACATCCTTTTAAAAAGCCAGACATCCAGCTGCTCCGAGTGGATGATTCCTGTCTGTAGCTATGACTAGAAGAGGCCACAAAAATATTTATGCTAAAACTGGATGGGAATTTTCATTTGGTCTCTAAGTTGAATGTGTCATAGCCAAGAATTCTGTTACAATTATCTCTTTGTAGCATCCTAATCCAAATGGGAGCAGTGGAGAGAAAAAATAGATTTGTTTCTCTCTATATTTAATTGGTCAACAAATGTATGTGATTTGTTTTGATTAYGGAGTTGGTCATGATAACCTCCAGAGATTCCTCCCTACTGAATTTGTTCTACAGATCTATTGCTGAATGGTTAATGAAGTGGTAAATGAACCAGAAATAATACTCTGAGTATTAACTGGTGGGCTTTTTTTTCCTCTTGCAGCACTGGTATAGTATTAACTTCAGCAAAATGAAAACAAACAAACCCACTCAATCAATCAAACAAACAAACAAACAAAAAACCCAGCACAAAACCAAGCCCAGCTAGGGGGTAGAGGGAATGAAACTGGTTTAAAAAAAGGAAAAGAGGCATTTTTGTAAATCCTGTACATTAACTTGTCAAATGGAAATGCAGCAGACTGAGTACAGTTTATGTAATTCTGCAGCTGACTTCTGAGTCTTAGCCATACTTTAAGGTTTTGCAGCACATATGTTGTTTAATATGGCATGTATGTACACTTGAATTCTAGAAAAGTATTTTTTAGTTAATTCTGGGCACAGATATTGTGAAAGGCAGTCTAAGACGCCTGTATTTCAAACARTAATGTGAGGGACAGTAGACATCATCACTTGTTCTCTATTTCCARTGTTCTTACAGCCAGCAAAGCAGGGCATAAAAGCACTTGGTCAATTGTGCCTGCTAAGTAAACTCCCTGGGAATGTTTGTGGTCTGTCTTTGGAAAACTATGTTCACATACCTGAGCTCCAGAAATGTAAAAACTATATTCTAGGAGGCCAGCTTACCTTTGTCAAGTTGAGAGGGAGAAATGATGGAGCAGTGGCGAAGCTTTTGCTTGACTTGCAGCAATGGAAGYGGCTACTTCAGTCTGGTTTAAGAACAAACAGTTSGGTCAAATGTACAACTTTAGGTTCAGTGATCTCTGGTTTCATGCCCTGTTRCTTTTTACCAGTAGAGGGGTAGATAAACCCCAAAGAGACTGGGTTTTGTTGTTTGGGATTTTTGTCTACTCGTTGATACGTTCCTTTAAATTAACCTACCGTCATGGATTTTTATACAGAAAAACTTTGGCACTTTTGTCTACACCTTCTGATCAAAGACACATTTGCAAATGTAGCTTTTGAGGGTTGTGAACCACTGAGCATGTTTGTTGAACACAGGAGACTTACTGAATTGAGTGACTCTAAATTCCCTGAAATTTTGAGGCAGCTGAGTCACATTTATTTACKGTATATTATGACCCTTCTCTAAGGCAAAGAAATTAAGAGAAACGTCCCTTGGGTTCTTTTCTCTCAAATAGAAAAAAAAGAAAACTGGAAGGTTGCCTCCTAGTTTGTACAATATGTCAGAAAACTTATCTGTCATTAAGACTTCACTGTTTTTCTTTTTTCCATACTTGTTAGTCAGTCTTTTGCCAATACTTAATCTAGCAGTTAATGGTGATGAATGACTCTTGCCCAATATGTTCCAAGACTGTTCCTGATTTTTAACTCTTACTGTTAAATTGGATCATGCTTCTTCCATGGATTTTCTGCTGAAACAACATTTGTTATCGTGGAAAAATGTCTTAMACTGTCAGCTCCTTGCAGAGGACACTAAATTGGTGAATAAAAAGTTACTCTTTGTTGCAACCTTATTCCTTCTCTTAGCTCTTAGCAGTCAACAAAGAAACAAGTTCTTGAGCATCCTCAAAATGCAAGACACTTAGAACATGACTGGAAGGGAAATATTTGAGATTCAGCATTTCATCTGAGGCTAATCAGCCATAAGTAGAAATGCATGCTTGTTCTGTGATCTGTATCTAATAGAACAAAATGATTAATATATTGTATTTTATCTCCTTGCAGTTTCATGCTGTCACTTCTGAAATCTTCAATTTTAAGGTGTTAAGTACTATAAAAGAGCACTTGTCCCAAGAAAGCCTCTGGTGTTTAAATGAAAGGGGTAATTCTTAAGCAACAACCAGACATCTGGAGTAGTCTTGATTGTGGTGGATAATTGAGGATGTGCCTGTGAGTTCCGCTGCCAGTCTAGCATGTTTTTTACAAAGATTGGTTTATGATAAATTACATTTGTGTTTTGGTGTAAAATAGTAATATCTTAAATTGTAATGCTGCTGTTGGAAAGGATAAGCTTACACAGTTACATGAAGTTTTGGATATGAGAATGATAGTTAAAAGAAAGGGCTTTAATTGATTTTAACATTTTATTTGAGAAGGTAAAGATTTACTCTATTTCTCGTGTTCAACCAAGATTGGACAAGTAAAATTCTAATAACTTGCCTTCCTCCCCAGCTTGCTCTGAAATGGAGTATAAAGCACTGATGTCATTATCACTGCTCAGCAGCACTGCCT